GCAGGAATTAGTTTGAATTATTCATCTCATATGTAAAATATAAATATAAAAACTGCATATTTTTAGGAGACAGTGAAGATGTACACATACAAATCCCCAGGTAACCATTATATGCTGATGCCTTTTCAGTGTTGGCACTGAACTCTACTTCTCTGCCTGCACACACAGCAAGAGTCCCGCTGAATTATGCAAACTAATGATGGACAGTCAACAGGGAGCTTTCTGAATGCTGTCACGCCCTGCCAGCCTTTGCTAAAGATCAGTTACTGTTCCTATGACTGATAATGGCATAAAACCTGTCAAATGGTGCAAAAACCTTCAGTATAGTTGCCTTGCTGCAGATTCTTCTTATGTGCATTTCGTCATTCTTCCTGCTTGTGTTCTGCTACAGTGGTGTTATATTAACAGTCTCTGCTGTATATTAGCCAGCCAATGAATCATTGTAACTAATGTGTATGTTAACAAATTAATAGACACAGATTTAATAGAACTGCCACGTGGGATAGGTGAGCCACACGCCAGACCTAATATTTCTCATTATCCAGGAGATGTTTACAAAAAAACAAGGCTTCTTCACCATATTAATATTGCTGTTAATGAAAAGCTGTTTGTGCTTCTGTTGACAGGCCAAACATTTGAGTGAACAGAAACACAAGGCCACTGTGTACATGGTCAACTTATTAAAAACTCACAGCAGCTTCAGTAAAGCTTATGGTGGATGAGCTGCATGCCAGTGATCACCGAGCTCATCACATGACTCAGTTACTGCTGCCTCACCCTGAACACTGAACAGCTCTGAGATTAGATAGTGTTCATTCAAATTATAAAGTCACTGAGCAACAGACCAACAAACCCTTATACTATTAATTGACGACAACTGATTGATTGTTTCTGTGCAGGTCTGTACAGAAGGTGAAAAAAAAGAACTTAGGTGTTTAAGAAAAAAAATCCACCTTTCCTCTCCCTCAGCTAAATCAGACATATTTTCCATGACACCAGTGAGTCACCATCAAACAAAGCAACAATGTGATAATACAGTCCTATATACATAAAAACATACAGCTGCAGTTCCAAGTGTTTATAAGCCCATTTTGCTTAACAGTAATTAAAATTTTACAAAGAGGATAATGGCACAAAAATGTTGCACCATACCCAGAAGCCATATCTGCCTCAGGGTGTTTCATTAACCAGTCACATAGCATGTAGACAAAGCTGTACACAAACAGACTGTAAGCTTTTTATGAACTTGCAGCTATAAGGAAAGGAAACTGGGGCAGATTAGGATGATAATCTTTAGCACCTGATGAGCAATATTTAATGGAGGAGAATGTTAAACTGTGCACTCCCTGCCTTGGACAAAAGGAATTGTTACAGGGAGCCCCTCAAGTTCAGTAGTTTTATAGATATTTACATACACAACTGAAAAAATGGCATAGAAACATAAAGCTAGATTGTTCATTATACTGATACAACCTGCATACTGTGCATTCCATACTGCTTCATTACAAATTCATGGCAAAGTCTTGCTATAGCTGAATTCACATAAAATGCTCTGTAACACAGACTTAGACAGAACAAATGTTTGTTCTGGTGGTGTGTTTCAACTGCATATTAGGGTTTATAGCATATGCAGATCATTATCGTTTTGCTTGGCAAAACAGTTTTAATAACTGTAGCTTCCTCAAATAGAAAAGCCAGGAACATTTTCATATTTTCTTTTAAACATGACAGTCTTACAAACAAAAACTTGACATTCAATCTGTCCATGTGCCAAGAAAAAGTTGCCATGACATACAGCTCTCAAAGACACTAAAAGGTTATACTGCATGTACCAGAGTCACACTCACCTGCAGGTTGTGTGTGGTCAGGAGAAAAGATAAGCATCTGTATAGCCTATATAGGCTGCGAGGATCATAGGAGCCAAATGATCACCTTTAACTGCTTCTATCCACTTTCAGCTGAGAAGAAGTATTTGCTTTGTAGTAGATTTCTGTGACCTGTCTGACCCACAGATTGTCTACAGACTGGACACACCTGAGCAGACACAAACATGGAGTCTGAAATCTCTTTTAGCATTACTTCTACATACTTCCTCAGTTTACGGTGTCATGTCTGCTCTTCAGCTGTTACTATTTTTACAACTTTTCCGCTCTCTCTCTCTCTCTCCCCCACCTCACTGTCAGTCTATCCTGTTCTTTATCTGTCAGTCTCAGCAGCCCTGGTGCTGAATCATTAACCATGAGCTGGGGCTCCTCCCATCACACCAGGTGGAGGATTACAGGCAGGAGGAGGGGGACAAACTGGAGATAAAGCCGAAGTTGGGTGTAAAATCATGCTCTGTTGACAAAATGCACCGCTAGTTTTATTTGTTCTATAAATATATACTCCAGCAGCAGAATAAAATTATGCCAGGATACTTGGTTTTTTGCAAAATTAATATTTTTTTGAGACATTACTGGTCACTAGTCTGTGATTTCTGTGGCATTTAACAGTGTAATACTATTTGCTGCTCACATAGAAGACGGATGCCTATTGTCTGAGTAAATCTAAATGAGGCTAAAGGGTGAGTGTTGTGACAGAGGGTGTGGACCTTTACTGTTCACAGTTATTTACTGATATGCTGTCTGGTTAATCAATGACATTATTGAGCCCAGAAATAAAAGGGCTTGGATTTTAGCTGTGGAAATAGAAGACACCCAGTGACCTGTATTATATGCGTTGATTAATTCAGATGTAACAGCCAAATAGAGTCCAGAGGTCTTTCAGATAATGATCTTTACTGATAGGGCAAAAACACCATTTGTTGTTACAGCTCATAAAGAAGTGAAACTCAACAAAACATACTGTAGTATGTCTTTTCAATTAAACAATACACAGCAGTTAAAGGCAAGTGAATGTCATAAATATCTACAAAGAGCTAATGAGCCCATAAGTTCAATAAGACTGTCATCAGACATTCACAGTCACAAGTGAAAAAACACATTAAGAATCGAGTCAAAAAACTGTAGCTTCTGGTGAAAAATGACATAATACCATAATAAAGTGGTGATTGATTATCATCAGTGCCTAAACCTAATAAAACCTTCTGCAAATTCAGGATGAATTTAAAAGGATATTCAGTACACACACATACTGACTTGGTCCTTGTGCAAAGACTTAGTGTACAATCAGTGAATAGATTCATGAGAAATTCCCTCCATAACTACCGATTACACATCAAGTGGCTATAAGCCTGACAGGATAGACATTCCTTTATCTGACACCCATGTGCAAATGACAAAAGTCAGATTACACAACACAAAACTTCAGAACAACCAGGTATTCTTCATATTCTTAGATAGCTTTAGAGTATACTCAGTGGTGGGAAGGTAAAAGATGATCAGCTCATCTGCTCCTCCTTGATGCCACAGGCTTTGTTGATCTCCCTCGGGTGTTTGAAGACGGCTTGGATGAACTGGCCAAACAGTCGCTCCATGTAGTTCTCACTGCGAGGAAACAAACCCTGCAGGAAGGCAATGTGACCACCGTGAGCGGTCAACAACAGGGCGACATTAGGCAGGCTCCGGATAATGGTCAAAGGGAAGGCTGTGAGGGCAGGAAATACAGTGAAAAAGGAGTTAAACCCACATTTAGAAATAAATGAGACCAAAGAATAAGGCTGTTCCTAAATGTGCATTAACTAACATTTTTACTGTGAAAGCAAAAATGTTATGCTATACAACCCCCCTCCATGACAGTCTGCTGCCTACAGCGGTTCTGTTGTTAGTCCAGTTTCTCCATCCTGTTTTCAAAATATGGTCCATAAATTAGCGTGTTTTTCAGATTGCAAGTAGTCACTTCAAACAGCCAGCCACGAAAGACCTCTCGTTTACGAAAAGTCCAAAACAGTGACTGCCAGACTGAAGAGGTCGTGTTCTTTTGCACAGAGTAGGACAAAGAAAGAGCAAAAACCAAGGTTAATATCAGCTTGACTTTTTGAGATGGAGAGTGTTAAAAGCAGCCAGAGGACTCAAGTTTGATTTACGTGTGGTGTTCTTGCTTCTGAATATGTTAGCATCTAAAGCTAACGTGTTTGTTTTGGTAACATTATCGACCTAGCATGGCCATAATTAATATAATATTAATTTGGGAATGAGTTGAGCTTCGTGTGACATTAGTGCTTTGTGTCACATTAGCAATAACCAGAGCATTCAACTGGATTGACAAATTTACTCATTAGTCAGGTAATGCTAGCGGCAGTATTGAGGCTGCGTTTTGTACAGTCTGTCACAACCAGGCTTCCATAGTTTACGTCTTCAGTAGGAAACAGGATATGATAGGTGAGGCAAAGAACAGTTAGCAGTGGCTAAAGGTGTCAGTTTGTTCAGAGTCTCACTAGACCTAGCAGCTGAAAAAAAAAAAATGAGTAGCTTTAATGTGGTTTGTTTAGATCCAGTGCTCAAAAATCACCACAAATGAAACACAGTCCCAAACTTTTCCTGTTCTCTACTCACCATTCTGGGGGGAGAATGGATCATCAGCAGCGTTGAGACACAAGATGGGTACTACTGTATTGGGGAGTTTTTTGTCTGGACTGGCATCATGGTAGTACTCCTCGCAAGATTTGTAACCAAACATCAAAGCTGTGAAGCGTTCATCAAAGTCACGGATAGTCCGTGACTAAAGAAGAGGGATTAAATCAGATGAAAAGAGAGACGAAAGCCAATCACACAGAAATACAGATTAGAAACAGGAGGGTGAATGTAAAGAACAGCCCATACCTTCAGAACATAGTCAATATCCGCCACTTTCTCCAAAATCCTTCTGTGCCTGTGACCAAAAAAAAAAATTTAATTACTGCTTTGTGGTTGTAGAGTTCCACCAGGCAGTCAAGTTGCAGTTTACGTGTGTCTGACCAAACTCATATAATATACATAATGTGGTGAAGAATTTAAAAACAGATATTAACTGCATTTAATTTGAAGAAATCCCCTCATGAGAATGGAACAGACGTGAGGTCAAAGTGACAACCAATATCTAATGAGTTCATCCCTAGGTCTAAGTAGATTTTTGTGCCCAATCTGACATAACATCCTCAAGGTGTTCCTGAGATATCGCATTCATAAGAACAGAATGGACAGTTGGGCAGGCAGACTTAAAACCCAGAAACATGATGCCTCCAGCTAAGGCTGTCACATGCACAGAGGCATGAAAACTGCTGTCTCAACAATGCCATTCGTTAAATTAAATTCAGGAAATAGGAAACGGCAATCTCTCTGACCGGTTAACAGTATTACACAGGCTGCGGGTGAGGAAACTGTTGAAGAGCAGATAGTTGAGTGGTTCTTCCAGTGAAGTGGACGACTTCTCCGCATCCCAGGGGGCAGAAATGGTGAAACCTGCCACCATCCCCGACTCTGTGCCCTTACGAGCCAGGTAGTTTAGCAACAACATGCTTCAGGGAAGATAAGAAAAAAGAAAAAAAATTGAAATAAGACAGCATTATGACCAAAATGTTGTAACTAAAGGGAAGACAGAGAAAGAAAACAACAGGACAAGCTTGTCAATGCAGTCACTTTTTGGTAAGATCTGAAAAAGAAAAATGCAAGCAGGTCAAAATCTTTACACTGACTCACCCTCCCATAGACACACCAGCACCAAGCACAGGAGCACTTGGGTAGAGTTCTTTAACATGCTGCACCACATGCTCAAGATCTGAAGTATTGGCTGCGCAGTAGGTAACAGGTGTCTGAAGCAAGCAGGACACCAGAGGACGAACATTACATGCACTGTTCAGGTGCCACATTGTGTGTTTGAACTGAACTATATGACCACAAATCCAATGAAAACCCCAAAACCAACAATGTCTTAGCTGGTCTCTAAATAGAAATAAGAGAAGCATAAAAAGGCAAGGTTAATTCCCAAATCAGCTGGGAACTCTAGTTTTTAGTAAACATTGCTAAAACAGGAGTACACAGTACATTTGTTGGGAACTACTTTCAGCTGTGGATTAATAAATACTATAGTCTCTCTTCCATCTGCAGAGATGTGTATGTTTGACTATAATCAACTATAATGCCATGTTTATCCTAGTGACAGAACAAGTCACATTGTGTTTCAGTAATGTGTTTTCAATAGCTTTCGGCAGCAATGGAGATCTGGAGCACAGAAGAATAAACTATATCAGGCCAACCCACCAATTAGAAGTTAACCCGCGCTACCTCCTGACTCACAGCCGCCCCATATCAAACCACCATCTGCCACTTCATACTGGAAGTAGCAGATTTTTGGGTAGACTTGCCAGTAGTGCGTATGTCTTCACAAATTTCAACTCTGCAGCAAACAAACCTCTAGATATGAAGCTACTTCACAAACAAAGTCTGTTGAAATGACTAAGGGAAAATTTCAGAATTAAAGGTAACATGACTGTAATTCGTTAGGTAATCAATGTACTTACCAACAACTCCTGCCCTCCGACCCCTCTGTTGTTGAATACCACACACCTACAAAATGCCAACAAAAACAGCTTCAGCAGTTACTGGATATTTAATTTCACCTCACACAAGAATCTTGCTTACTTTAATTCAAACTTTTTTGTCACTGCTTCAAATTGAATTCATGTCAGATGTAAATACTGAATAAAAATGTAAGGGTGTTTACATTTCACTTCTGATTTTGGGACACGAATAAAACATTTCCGACAGGCAATAGGCGAGGACCACAACTGACCTGTAGCCACAGTGAGTGGCCTGGCAGACAGCATGGAGCACATAGGGCTGCCGGCTGTTCCCCGTCAGGCCTGGGAGGATCAATACTGTGGGGCGAGTAGAGGATTCTGGATAGGCCGCGCTGTCCGGATTATCAACCCAATCCAGAGAGATCTGACCACCATCAGCCGTGTGAATCAGCTCACTGAGAGGAAAGGACAGAAACACAAACAGGATCATAAAATTATTAGCACAGAAACAAAACTACACTGTCATTTCACCATTTTTCAGGTTCAGTGGGAAGCTAACAGAGGGTTCTTCCTACTTGCGATAAATGACGAGGGGCCTGGACTTGAGGAAGGCACCGACCAGGGTTTGAAGCCGACCTCCCCAACACCAGGGGGTGGGTCTGAAACGCTCAGCCATCACAGGACAGTGCTTGTGGAGGAATGCACCAAAAGGCTCACTACAAACCAGGGTTGGTGGCTGAGAGGAAAGGAGACAAAATGAAAACACATGACGACCCAGCAGCTTTGAAAAACTGCTAGAGACAAGAATGCATCTGAAACAAGATGAGAGAGATGAACTATATGAGAACAAGAACAATAAAATTATCAAGAAAGCAAAATTCAATAGCCCACAGTAAAATAACATATACAAAAATATTAGTAAATAAGAACAATAATAAGATAAAATTTAAAAGAAAATTGATATAGGAGAGTACAGTCATTTCCCTTAACCTTTGACCAGGGTGTCATACAGTGACTGACCTGACACTTGCGGTCCCACAAATACCACACTGCGGCCGTGATGGAGCAGACGAACACCGTGTAAGGCCTGGAAACTAACTCCCAATATGTTTTCCATAGCTCCAGATGTGACACAGTCATGGTAATAATCTATCCAGCGTTACAACAGAGAGCTAGCCTGATATCTAATGGTATGTAAATGCTTCGTTAGCGGAACAGACAACTGACAGACAGAAGTGTAACGTTAGTTCATGTCCCACAGCCTTCCTTCATCACTACCAGTTAAACGATACAGATGTTTTCACAGCCGCAGTTCTGTTCCATCAGATGTGATGATAAATCGTCGTTGTGGTTTCTCCAGTATCCGGCGCGTCCTGGTTTTACGTCATAGCCGAAGATCGTCTATTTAAACGGAGGCTCCACTCTCCGCCTCATGTCATGGTCCACCCTCACAGACTGACTACAAATGCGGATCTTCACGCGCGTTATCCTATTTTTCATTTTTATAGACGCATTGCTGCCACTTTCAGCTCCATGTACCACTACAAGGTCATCGTTTTCTTTACATTACCATTTTTTTCTACAATTAGTGCTTAGACTGAAATTTGCCTGTGTGGTAATTACTTTGAAGTAATTTTCTAAGTAGCAACGTATTTAATAATATTCACAACAAAAACAACATAAAAATGAAATGGTAAAAGTCCTAAGGGCTCTTACACTTGTAACTAATGTTGAGGTCCTGTCTTACAGAGGAGATCTGTGCTAACATCTAGTTTAAAGCACATAATAGCCTAATTGAATTGACAGATTATTCATAAACACATTTGTTTAATGAAAGAGTTTAAACTAACTGACTTTGAGTATTTATATTATGCACTAGTAATAGTGGGTGGTATCTGGAAAATACAATAGGCTGGTGGTCCAAATCTGGAGGGAGCTCCCTAGTGACCCACAGCAAATTTTTGCCCTGCAACCACCTGTCGGATTCATCCTGCTTTGTCTTTGCACTTGACTCTCCTTCACTGTTTATGTGTCTTGACAATAGTCGCTAAACATTTTGCTCTGCAGACTGTGTAGCAATTTTTTTTCTTTAACTATCGTTCTACTAGGTTAAAATATTGGCCTTTGCTATCCTGTTGCATTCACATTAAGCATATTAAGCCTCATTAAAATGTCATTTTAGATAACTAAACTTAATATATTTTGACATTTAAAGTTCTTTGTGAAGCTGTAAAAATACTACAAAGCTCTCTGGGAAAAACCCAAAATAAATAATTCAAGATCAACATTATTTAAAACAATAACGATGCAAGGGTAAAAGTTCTTGTTTCACCATGTTGCGCAATTTATTCCTTGTTTTTACATGATATCTCAATATTTGCCTTACAAAGCTCTTACAAACTAACACCTTTACTTGAATGTTTCTCAATTGATTTGATTTGACAAACGTTTGCAGTCAGAGCTGATTTTACTAGATGAGTGGGATTCCTGTTACAATGTCAGACTCAATACCACATTCATCATTTCCACGCTTGATCTTGAAGAAACCTGAAACCAGAAAACACAAAAACATGATTGATTGTCAAATTATAATAACTATACAATTGTCTTTGCTATGATATGTACTTTATGTAACCAAGAAGCATACCCTCGTCTCCCCAGTCAGTGTTCCAGGAGTTTGCAGCCAACCAGTAGGGTGTCCCATTCTCTTCTCCCCAGCCCAGGATCCTGATGGCGTGACCACCCACCATCTCCCCTATCACATGCTGATACACACCTATAATAATACCAAGCACAAATACACAGGGCTTAACAACTTCAAACATGGCAAAGATGATTTTCCATATTTAAACTAATTTACTATATATTATCTAAACAATTAACTCAACTTTATATTGATGATTTGTATCAACCATCAAAAATATTATATATATACTGTATGTTATAAGACTTTTAACATACAGTAAGAAAATACTTGAACCTGGTCAGTACAAATGCAAAGCAGAAGCAGTTTGTAGTTAATGGGCTGATGGAAATTTACCATTAATAAACAACACAGATCACAGGTTCTAATTTTCATCTTGGTGTTTGTTTAAAGGAGATGTTTGTGTGCATACATTACACAGACTTTGGGCCTCACCACTCATGTAGAGCTGAAAATCCTCATAGACAGTGAAAGATGCCTCGACAGGCCCATTCTTGTACAGCTCAGCCATGATTTGTTCCTGGTGGGATGGGACATTGTATGTGCACCTTCCTGTAAAGGGAGACACAATAAACAATCACAGATATAAAAAAAGATAAGCCATGATATGATAGCTACTGTAGGAGAGAGATTAGATAAGTTTAGGTGTCTGTACCAAAGTGTTTATCCTTCCGATAGCATGGCGAGTATCCGTCAATGCACTGCTCCACACACTTAGGAGTCTCCTGTTCATCCTGACATTTAGGACGAGTTCCATTTACATGATGCTCACAAGGAGTGATGGTGTAAGGCTTGCAGCCTGTAACACATAGAACCACCATCAGTTTTGGTGCAGACATTTCATAAAGCTGCATAAACCCATTTTAGTTCTTACTGAGAACAAACATACCAACTTTAGAGTCATACAAGCCTCCTGTCACGAGCCCTTTCTTTACCCAGAATTCCCAGGCAACAGAAGGAAAACCACCATTGCAGCTGCAAACACAGGAAATTAAAAACACCACAAGTGCTGTTCTATGTCCTCTTAAAAGATTTGGAATAGATGCATTTGGTTATACAAACTCACCCAAAGCCACATTCATCACAGCAGGACAGCAGATCCTCAGCAGAGATCTCCACAGAGATATTAGCACAGCTGTGGATGCATAACCTGTCCGATATCGCCTCAACTGCCGCAAAGGCCTGTGTGAAATCATAAAGGGGATTACTGCCTTGAGAATAGCCCGTTCTATACTATTATGCCTTTTTTTCTTACCCAGCAGGACCCACATGAGCCCTGGTCTCTGATTTGTTGGATTGTGGGACAGTTAGGCCAATGCTGGCGCGCATCAAAGCTGTCTGGAAGTTCTATGTCATCAGTGGTATGAACCCTAAGCAAGAGAATACAGTCACTGAAGCACTACAGATATGATGAACCGGCTGATGTGGATGTGAGACTGCACACACACAGTCAGTACTGCACTATAGTTAAAACCTACACCTCCCGTAGTTTCCTTCCATTGCGTAAAGTCCCACATAGTCCCTTCACATAGCTGATGTTAACTTTAGGGAAGTTAATCCTAGCCTGGAGCAAAAGTAGAGATGGAAATGAGAAAGATCACTGCATTCATGGTCATAGTCTGTGACAGCAGGTTTTCTCAGGTGGCTATGCTGCAGAGATAGTCACCAGAAATGCATTAAAGATCCCAAACTACCCAAAGTATTAACTGGATAATTAACATGGTCTCACCACCCAGGTGGTGTTGGCCTGGTTAATAAAGTCAACCATTTCTGAGGAGAGAAGAGGAAGGTGCTGGTGGGCCCAGGTGACAGACACCATCACCACCAAACAAAGAAGGGGCAGTCGATACATCCTGCAAAACAAACCAGTCAGATTTCAGGATAGTCACCTCAACTGCAATATGTCTATTACTCCTCAAAAGGGAGCTGTTGCTGCTTTATGAGAATTACAGCAAGAGACAGTGACAGTATACAGTAATTGCACATAATCATCTTGGTGATTCTTCCTTTCTCACATTTGAAATATTTTCCCCCACAGTTCACCAATTGTTGCAGTAACTCTAATCCATATTTATGACATGTACTAAAAGACCAATGGACTCAGAGTACTTTTTCTTTCTACTGATATAATAGGAAGTTGGTATTAATGTACCTGTTTAGTATATACACAAATATACAAAAACAACTAGAGAATGTAAGATAGGTGCAGTTACTGTATTTATATATAATCAACACCCTCTCTATTTTTCAGATACACACATGAAGTGCTAAAGTACCATATGTTATTTGTAATAACTGCCTAGCTAAAACCAGTTAAAAGGATGAAAACTGAGTCTTATCAAGGAGATATATAAGGGCAGTATAAGGAATTATTATTGATAAAAGTTGTTGCAATCACCACATCAAGTAACCATTTAAAAACTTAGCAAAAAAATATGAAATTTCAGATGAATTAATATAGTGAGTGACATATTCATCTTCATCAAGATAAGCACAACATAAAACTCTCTTCTTATTAACAATCAACTCAAATAACTTAAATTAAAGATCAAATTATTACTCATTTGCCCAATCTAAAACTGGACATCTACCTGTTGCTGTATCAGTGGATGTTCTTCTCTGGGTCAGTTCCTCTCTCTCACTGAACCAAACACAAGTTCTCTCCAGTCTTTTTACTTCTTCTTGTCCTTTTTACAAGCTGCAAGTTATGGAATCACGTCAATGTAATGAGGAGATCTGCATTGTTGAGGCTGTCATTGACAGACTCAGAGTAAGTCTTAATAGGCTTGAGTCGAAGGTCTCTGCCACCTCGGCCTGTGCTTCAAAGGATGTCACAGTTACTGTGATTAGGTGGGGTGGATTCATTTAGACTGACATATTCTTCCTGCTGTAACCAGGTTTCAGAAAGGCACAATAAATCATTGTGATGTTCACATATCAAATCATTTACAAACAGAGATTTAGTTGAGACATTGTTTTGGCGAAGTTACACATGACTCAGCATTAATTTTAGTGACCTCCGACTGGCGAAGTCAGGAGTCATTAGCGCCGATATGAATAACAGTCTTACTGTATTTACGCTTATCCTTAGTCAGCAGCTTCAAATAGGATTCAATGTCGCCCGCTCTGGCCCCAGGAAAACATTTGACTATGGCCGCCGGTGTCTCTAGCTTCATGTTTCTGACTATGGAGTCTCCAATTATCAGAGTTGTTTTCTCACAGAGTGTGTCGCTGAGTGGGGAAAATTGATTTGAAATGTGAACAGGCAGGTGATGAGCCATGGGCGTTTGTTTCGAGCCATGTCTCTTGCTAGCCATCAAACAGTCGCCTGGCTGAGCTCCCAGCTGCTCGGGAACCGCCCGGCTGCTAGCTTGGCCTGAGCTACGCCTAGGAGGCCCCGCACCGACTACGTGGGACTGGCTAGCTGGGCTGTTTTCAAGTGTGCAGAGTCGCACTTCCAATTCGGTTAGTCTCGCCTCCAATGCTGCTATCATTTGAAATTTCTTACACTACCATTATCGCTAAAGAAAGCCGAGGAATAACTGACAATTCGAGGAACAGGGTAGCCATTGCTCTCAACTAAGATACTAGCTTAGCTTCTTGCTAGCTGACCTATAGTAGCTAGTTAAATTCAGAAATTGGCAAGACATTGTGTAACACGGGTGCTTAAGTAGTGCAGGCCTATGTTGTAACTCAGAAAATGAGCTGATGTTCAGATAAACCTAGAAATCAGTTTGATAATGGATTAAGCTATCTGGTAGCAAGCACAGTAAACAGGAAGTGAATGCTCTTACCGCAGGAACGGGAAACAACGCACGCATAGGACAGCGTTAGCCTCCTAAATCCTTTTCTAATAAGCACGTCTTAAACCACAGTATAATTTTCTTGTCCTCCAATTTCAAAGTACACAGATTTGAAACAGAGTGAAAGCTCTACTGTGAGGGGAGGCTAACATGCAGCACAAATGCTGTAAAGTGCACTGTTGTAACATTTCTTTAAATAGAGACATAACAAGTGGAATATTAAACTAGCTTTTATTTGCCATGAAAAATATGAAATTTTTGATTTGAGACAAAATAAAACAAAAGCTTAATTAAGTTTGGTGAATGAGTTGGTGAAAATCCTAAAATTGGCAGTCATGTTTTATGCATTTCAACATTTAAACAATTCATTTCTTTTTTTTGAAATATTCAAATATGTAAAATAATTCAATTCAATCCAAACAATGGGTCAAAATGTTTCAAACAAAAATGAAGAAAAACATGCTCTACATAAAAATCACAAGACATGAAACCCCTCCCCCCCGTGCGTACGTTGCAATGTGCCATTTATGCTAGTAAATAACTACACAACACTGTGTGTAAAATAATTTTCTTCCCGATGCAGGGTGGACTACCACAGATCAAACAACCCAATGTGACCAGCCTGCTACCAGAACCCCTCCACCGTATACATTTGTCCATGGTCCTGTCACGACCATAATAAAGAGGGGAAAGGAGGAGGAAATGCTTCAGATTCCTCCAGTGAGAAGAGAACCAGATCTCCAGAGTGAGCAGAAGGCCCTTTTTAGTTTGTAGGCCCAGGAAAGGTGAGATAGGAGTTCACTGTCCCGGCACATCACTGGTGCCCTGTATCTGTTCTGCGGTAGCGCTCAGGTACTGCCAGCTGAGAGCGGCGAGCAGCATGGCAGCAGACAGGTACACGCGTGACAGGCGGGGGGGCCTGTGGACTGTGACAAATCAGACTTCTCCTGGATTAGAGCCAAGATGTGCAGGGTCTTGTCCCGTGACGGGTCAGTGAGGGAGACCTTGTGTAAAATCTGCAGCAAGGGGGAAACAAGGTTGGTTGTATTGAAAATGTGTTCAAGTGCAACAACATGGTAAACGCAGCAGTGACAGACAAGAAAATACACCCACCTCCTGGCTGTACTGGGTGATGATGGTCTGCACAGCTCTCATGTTGGTGGCATCCATCATGAGAGTGACAGTCTGTCCTTTTCTGATCTTCACTACTCCCTGGAACACCATGGGGTTGTTGTAGCATCTAGATAGTGTAGCTATTGCCATCATCTGGTCAAAAGAGGAATAACATTGTGAAGCTACAGGTGCATAATATACTGTGTGTGTGTGTGTGTGTGTGTATAGAGAGAGAGAAATTAGGCCTTAATTAATAATACACTTTATGAAAGTTAGACTGACATATTTAGAAACATAGGTGCTAAAATCTGTGGTGCTCAAATATCGTCATACAAATCACACTGAATATTTACCTGTGGAATGGCACAGAAGTTGAAGACACTCTGATTGTGCAGGTGGGACAGGTAGGCGATAACATCTGGGACGTGACGCAGAGCATCAGTGACCAGCAAGTTGAGACAGGACAGAGCCGACTCCAGCTTCTCAGGCTGGGCCAAGTCCTCAAGACAGCCTGCAAACTGGCTCCATGCCTGCACAGGGACACACAATACAAAAATCTTTCAAGGAATATGTGTAAGAAACAGTCATGTCAGTTTTTCTTTTGCTGTGTCCCTCAGTGACAATGATGAAACTAAATAATCAAAATCCATAAACCAGATGATAACTTGTGCAACAAATAATGACTGAATCACTTTTTTTTAACAAGACTGGCACAGCTTTTCATGTTGCACACTTTTTATAAATCCTAAGATTATCAGCCTAAAAGGTGTATAAAATCTAGTCTGCTGATAAAAATGTAGGTAAATGTCTTACTTTGAGTTGGGTTACTTTACAATACACCAGAGGTTATATAAATATATTTTGTATATACACACAAATTTCATAATATGGACTAGGAGATGAACAAACTATCATAGTGTGTGACAGTGGGCTCAGGTCAGACACACACATTCCTACCTCTTGTGGCCAGAAGACACGTCCCTCTTTCATATCTTCGAGATAGTCCCGGATGATGTTGGTCTTCTGGAGGAACAGGCCCATGGAGTTTGCCAGCTCAGCGTCCCGTCCAACCTCAGGGTCCTCCAGCCGGGATGCTGAGAAGAGCTGAGACAGGCCAATACCAACCAGCCCTGCCACATAGTGGCAATACTGCACAGAACGAAAAACAGGCAGCATGCAAAAAAAAAATGCGTTGGTACAAAATTAGTCTCTGTTGCTGATCGGTGCTAACAATTCAAGTTATTTTGCTAATTAACCATATTAATGCTTTTGCAGAACTCCCTTACCGTCATCTTGTTAGATTTTTAAAAACTGTCAGACAGTGCTAGAAACGAATGACATATTTCCTTCAAAACCAAAGCCCATGAAGAGTGCAAGTGTTGCCCAATATTCAACTCATTTATCACACAGAACATTTTAAATGGTTGTTGATTTTATATTCCTTATATTCCTGTCAGTATCCAATGGTACCACATTGCTAACATTTACCTGGTCCCACTCTTTCATGGACCCCACTTTCTTCTCCAGGAATTCAGCCATTCCTACTCCCATACGCTGGCAGATATCTGAGATGACATCTCTGTATTCCTGAGCCAGGTTTCTGAACTCTACTGATATCTGGTTGAAAGAACACAAGAAGAGAATGAACTTTTTGGGATGCCATCATTAAATTAAGCATTGATAGCCTACTGTACCTGACTATTCCTCTTTTATGTTCCGTGCAGTACTACTGACCGTTGGGAAGTCCTCCAGAACCTGCCGGTCTTTCTCCTGGCTCTCAGTGAAGCACCACTCGTCCTGGTACAGATAAGTGTGGAAATCATTCAGCATTGGCACCTTCCTGTCCAGGGGGATACTCATGTCATCCTCCACTGTATCCAGCGCTCGCAGCACAAGATAGAAAATACAAACTGCATGTCTGGATCAAGAAGAGGGTGAGAAAGGGATGAGATGACTACAACAGTTGTGTCAAGTAAATCAGGTTAGTCTTATGTAGAATATTCTCTTTGAACAGGGATTATATAAAGTCCACACACACACACAACAGCAGACAACCCAGTATATAATTTTTACTGTTTCCTTTTGAATTCCTGCTACAGGTCATCACAAAGGAGTCATTTTGGCAAATGTCTTGCTGTTATTTTATTCTAATGGGCATTTTACATGATTGTCTCCCATTTGATAGACTAGATGATTGATCAGTTGATTTAAAAAAATATTTCATAGTTTGGTCAATTATTTTATTAGATGACATTTTACTGAGTACTAGTCATACTGTATCTTAACACATCTTTACATATAAACCACTAATTAAGCTCTTATCTTCCATCTTTAAACTAAAACAATTAAGATGTAGTTGCTGATCTGCTTAAGAACTGTCATTTAAATGACTAGGACGTCCCTAAAAAGCTTGGGCCAAGCTGCTGTATGTGGTTGAACTATTAGGTCCAGAATCAAGTCCACTGTTCGTTCTGGCTGCCACTGCCAGACACACACACACTGATTTATTCATTATATATAGGAGGGGTGTCTGCTTTCAAACTATATTGTAGTTCCACAGGAAATATCTGCATTTCAGTTGTGGACTGTTTTCTGAGAGTAGTAAAACAAATGCAACACAATGCTTCCCGTCTTTGGTAGCCTAAGCTCCTGACAGGGGTATCAACAATGTAAATGCACATGAACACACACATTAAATATATTACTGTGCATATAAACGGTTTACATAGAACAGTACTAGTGAGGGGAAGTACCCAGGCCAACTCCCCTGGGTCTGCAATTTTGGAACGATGTCATGCCTGCACACACCCCTCCTCACCTGGAGCCAGACCAGCACCAAGTCCAGCTTTTACCTACCTCAACTCCCCATCCAACGCTTGGATCACAGCTGCAAAACTCCGACTGGTTTGGTTCAAGTACATGTAGCAGGTCCGCAGACTCTCACTCATGGACTCCTGGCAGGACAGACAAAAGAAGGCCGTGTGTCGGTAAAAGCTTGCGGGTCTGAGGGCACTGGAGGGTCGGGCGGCCTCTTGTAGGCCCCGCTCACCTAGTCTCCAGCCTGGAACGAGGAACCGAGGGGTGGATCCGCAGCATCGCGGCACCACCAAGAGAGAGCGCCTGAAAACGGACAGAGAGACTGGACACTTGCAACAAGCACCGGCCATACGAAAAACCCGACAATTGGACAGAGCATGCAGCTAAAACACAACGGTATCCATTAAGGACGCCACGGTTGGTGGAAAAGTTTGAGACACCAAGTCCATGTAGAGGGCAAACGAGGTAATAAGCCTTTGGCAGGAAGTTCTCCGCTGATTTCAAAACAGTCCGATCTCACTGTGCAAGCTAGCAAGGTGTGTCCACAGCGTTTGTAGATCTGTTGTTATGATCACACAGTTCCTCCCACTTCTACCCAAAACACAAGCTGCACCCATATGTTTCCTAAAACTGCTTCTGGAACGGAAATTTGGCCTTTCAAGCGTATTTCACAAGATGTATTACTCAATAAAAGAATAAAGTTACGTCAGCGAATATGATGCTTTTAAATAGAAAACACGACCGTAAAAAAGGCCAAATAGCCTCGTTGTATTTACGTAAGCAGGCAGCCAAAATTTCTTGGTGATTAACCCAAGTGCAGAAATAAAACTCGTGTGTTTTAGTTTCCAGTCACTTGCAATACTGCTATGTTTTTATTCCAACAGGACTGCCAAAAATGTGGGGCACAACTAGCTGTTTGGGCAAGTGTGCTAAAATAATAGAATGGTGTTGTACTGACACCTAGTGGGAGACCGCGGGAACTACGGCAGGATTTACGATACGAGTGGATACAAGTGTAGAAGCCTGATCTGTCACCTGTCAGATTCTGTGCTGCTGCAGGGTCAAAAATGAAAAATATCTTGATGTGTTGACCAAATATCCACAGGTGAGGTACCCTGTATTTCAATCTGCGATCCTACCTAAATTATGGAGGCAAGATCATGTGTTACTGTCACCATTATGTGTGACCATGACAAAGTGGTTATTGCCATTTCGAATTTTACTTCATTATTTATCTTTTTTAAATGCTAAAAAAGTGTTTGAGTTGTGGTCAGCACTTGATCAAATTACAAAATCTGACTGCTCACAGAAAAGTGTAATATCTGTGACAGCGTAGTTTGTTAGTCTCACCAAACAACACTGTACTACAACATTAAGAACTGCCAAACAAATTTTTCAAAAATGTTGAATTATCTTGTATCTAACACTACCCCGATCAAACGTATTTCAGATTCACTTAAGACTGACATATTTTATTGTTATTATTGAGTTATGTTTGCTGAGGGCACTGCTGGCTATCAAAATGAAGGGCTGGTAGAAACTGGTTTCAGTTTCTCTCTGAGGGTCATACTGGTGTTTTATTACCCGCCAAACATCTGTACAGCATCCCTCCCTGCTGCTAAACCTTCCAGGCTCTCTACTCTGCGTAGGGAAAATCCTAAATCAGCGACAGTCCTTGCCTCTGTATATGTGAGCCAACACAGTGAGAGCATAGATCTAATCTGACAAAGTCCAATTAGCTAACCCTCTTTCCATCGGTTCATTTAGGAGCAAAACTGAGCACCATATAGGTTAATCCATTACGGTGCAGGTTGTATACACTAAGCATGTGCAAACCTGTGCATTAATAGGCCTACCTGGATTTCCGTGTTGCTACGGTGTTCCCTGTTTTTGGTGCTGCTGTGTGAAGGAGGAACACTATGTGCTACTCCATTAGTGAGAAATACAACGACGCATCCTACCTGCATGAAGATGCTGTCTTAATATTCGTGTGACTGTGTTTATATTCAGTCAGTCCATTTTCGAAAGGAGGTTTTACTCACATAATCCAACTTTGGCATCACGGCTCTGCATCCCCCCATCTTAAACTTAAACAGGTTGAATAGTTCCTCGGGATGGGCCAGTGACTTCAGGATGTCCATGTTGCTTCAGGTGTTCAGCTGTTATTCTGAGGAGCTGCTGCGGAAACCTCACGAGATATCCCCCATCAAAACGATCCGTCCTTCCGATGATGCTGCAGCACAGCAGCAGCGCCATGAAGAGAATGCGGTGTTCAGGCTCAACACGCGTCAGACTGACGCCTCTGATTGGCTGACGGGTCATGGGCTTAGCGCTCAGCGTCCAGTGAGCGTCTGGAGAGTCTGGTGTGATGTCCCGCCTTAGCGGACTGTCAGTCAAGCGCGGCTTTTGATTGGCCCGTTTTTGAGAAACCGCACCTGATAAATTAAATGGTATAATCCCAGCACTGTTACCTGGTGGTTGCAAGAACCAGTGTACAAACAGTGCCCCGTATGAAACTATACGTCCTATTTATTCCCTCGAAACTCATGGAAAGTTATTAATCTTCATAAGTTATCTATTTTATGTAATATGGTCGTTTATTAGGTCCATTATTATGATTAAACATCCTCGTGAAGCCTGTGTTAGCGGAGAGGCTAAACACCTGACTAACAATAAGCACCTTTTTGAAAAAATATCACGCTGGATTGACACGCAATATTCTGTGCAGAAAGTACTGGAGCAAGTTCAGAGGAGCCACCACAGTCGACCAGAAGAAGAGAAAAAGGTGTTCAGATGGGAGGTGAGCGTCATGACTCAGGCTGCACAAGTTCTGTTTTCAGAGAAAAGTGGAAGTTTTGAGCAGTATCTAGAAAGCAGGACGGGATTTACACTTGATTGCACTTTTAGCCCACAAGTATGATGCCCTCCAGGATCAAATGAGACTCGCATTTCAGCAGTGTTGGAGGGAGACGGTGCAAGAGAAATCTGCAGAAAATCTCAACCAATGTACTGTCCAGCTTTTTATCACAGGAACTGGAAAATTCACAAAAGAATACTTACAAATAGGGACACGGCTATCAGAAGATGGTTAAAATCTTGGTAATAGCTAAACAGGAAATTAATGTAATTCTAGATATTTCACAAACCTTTGTGTCATGTCAAAATGAAATCAAATCAAATTTTATTTGTATTCATTCATTTTCTACCGCTTAGTCCCTGAACGGGGTCACGGGTGGGGA